GTATGGACCAGTTCACCACAGAAACAATTTACAAAGACGAAAGCTTTGCATTCAGAGTACATGTGATCAAAAACTCAAATGCCAACATCGTTCTCAGCTGCAGCATGGAAGCCATGATGGGCCTCGTGAGAAAAGTGGAAGAACTCTATGGAGAATTTGGTGACACTGGACTTTTGAAAGGAGATCTAGTACAAATAACCTCAAGAGACAATGATGAACCATACAAATACCTCTACTAGACAGACCTTGAAAGAGACTAGCTGCAGATTTATGCAAATTCAGAGGACATCATGACCTGATCATACTGGACTATTTTTCTGGGTATATAGAAATAAGGTACTTGAAAGACAAAACATTTTGCAGTATTATTGAGAAATTGAAGTGCACTTTTGCTCATCTTGGTATTCCAAACAACTAGTGATGGAAAACGTATCACAATTCACTGCAGCAGAATTTAAATAATTCTGAACAAAATATGATTTTGATTATGTTACTAGCAGCTTACATTACCCACAAGCAAATGGAGAGGCTGGGAGAGTTGTATAGACAGCCAAGAAAATCCTACAGCAGGAAGTTCCATTCCTTGCTCTTCTGAACTACAGATTAACACCAATAACAGCTACTGAATATAGTTCAGGGTCTAGAACCTGGGGACCATGTTTGTGTCATACTGGATGGAGGAAAATGGATGGAGAATGCCAGCTGTCATAAAGAAAAAGAATGCAGTGCCCAGATCATATGTGATCAAGACTGATGGTGGAGAGTTCACAGAAACCATCAATAGCTACATTTTTTTTCTCAGAAAGAACAATCAACAGAGCAAACTCTACAAATGGCTGGTGCAGAAGAAGAAGACAATGACTTAAAGATTCGAAACTGACTACAGGCAGTGGTTGCAACTAATGGACAGCCAGATGACCAAGTTGTTACATATTTGGGCTGTGCAATTAGAAAACCAGTGTGATTCAGAGACACTTAGCAGACTGATCTGTACTGAACTTTAAAGATAGCATGATAGTGTCTATTTTTGTAAATGCTAGGAACTTAAAATGTAATGAGGGAGATGTAATAAAATGTTAAACTGTATTATAATGTTAATTATACTGTATTATACTATTATAGTATACTTAAGCACACAACAGCCATTCCTAGCAGTGCATTAAAAGATCTCAGGGACAAATCTTTAGTATTTCTCTCTGTAAAGGAATATCTGTAGCCAGTACATATCTGGTACAAGAGCATAACCTGCTATTAGCAGCCCTGCAACCTAGAGTGTACTAGAAGTACATGACAGAGACCAATGAATGGATGTAGGGAAGGTGCAGAGAGGTTTGGGATTCATGGAGCATCAGAGTCTTCTGCAGTAACAGGCAAATGTCTGGATGAAACAGTCTCTAGTTAAATGAGGTTCCAAATCGTCAGGGCTTGTTAGAGCTTTGAACAGGTAGCAAGAGAAGAGAGAATTTTTGCTTAAGTTAAAAAAAAATCTGGCCTATACTTCCAACTGGAATAATGAGAACAAAGAACTATCCTGTAGCAAAAGGTGAGCTGTGGTTCCTGAAAAGGTACCGAACACAGTTCATCTTGGCCTGCTCTTGCAATTTGGCTGTGTTCAGACCAGGTTCAGCCGCACCCTTTCTCAACAATCGGTAATTATGCTACCGCAGACAGGACTCTTCAGTGTAAGCAGCATGGGGGCATTATAAAGAACACATCCTTCTAGATAATGCTCAGATTACAAAAGGCCATACTGAATTCTCCCATGGGTTCCAGGAAACTTCATGACATTTACCACACAAAATCTCCTCAAATTCTCCCCTCAGGGGGGAGAACACTGGGGCCACGGAAGAGACATGTGAGCACTTAAACTCATGTAGCCTGGGGATCTGTGGGAAACTTTGCCCCTAAGCTCACTGATCCCTCAGCCTCCGCAGGGAGAGCCTTCCCCTCTGCAATGATCTCCCTGGCAGCACAGCACCCTCAGAAGCACTTGGAAGGTGAGGTCTAGTATATTGTGTACAGCTTTGGGCATCCTGATATCAGAAAGATGTCATCAAACTGCAGGGAATAAAAAAAAGAGCAACACATTTGACTATGAATCCCCCATGACCCAATGAACTCCCAGAAGTGCTCCATGACATGGGGTTTGTATGTGTACTGTATGTAGGAGTAATAACAAATATGTTGCAGGTGCCCTGCAAATGAAAAATAAAATGGGGTTTGTAGCCTTTTTGTTTGTTTATGTTGCATAAAAAAAGCCTGAAAAGTGGGCTTTAAAAAAAACAACACCCCCCCCCCAAAAAAACAAAAAACGGGAAGAGGAAGTGTTTGAAGCCTGTTTCTTACCTTAGAAATAGCAGGGATTCCAGAATAGTCTGGTCTTCCTTGGAGGAAATCTTCATCGATGTCTCAGTTGTGTTTTGAGAGTTTTCTAATGCCTTAATTGAAGTGGGGATCTCAGGTGTTCCCCCCAAGTGTTTATTAGGGTTTTTTTTTTTTGTCTGTCTCTAGGTGTTAACAAAAACAAACAAAACCCCAAAAGTTTTAAACACTGTGAGTAAAAAGATCTCTACCTCTCTCTGCATTTTTCACTTTCTTGTGAGGTAATAATACCAGTAGATCTCCAGCCATCCATAGAATGCCAGACAAGACAAGACCTAGATTTGTCATGTAAAGAACCATCAGAAACAACCTTTTTAAAAAGTGTGATATTTCCTATTAAGGTGAGATTTCTGTGAAACTATCCTCCTTCTGCTAAGTTAGGGCCCTATCCAGCTCCACTGAGGTCAATGGAAAGATTGGATCTGTCCCTCAGTGTGTTAGGAGTAAGTCTTGGGTTTCCTCCTCATGGAAGAGGGAGGTGCAAAACTATCCTCCTTAGCAGAAGGAGGATAGTTTCACAGAAATCTCACCTTAATAGGAAATATCACACTTTTTAAAAAGGTTGTTTCTGATGGTTCTTTACATGACAAATCTAGGTCTTGTCTTGTACTTCCCGGGTGCATGGGTGTGTACATATACAATATATATATATATATATATATGAAGTAGGCGACAATAACACACTTATGCTGATCATTGTAGGCATTTATCAGCAATGTGGTGAGGTAATATTTCATGTAAAAGTTATATGTGTTCCTCTCTCAAGGGCACAGATTTTTATCCTCATGTTTCAAGGCTTGAGCTGATCATGTTTTTGGGGATCAGGAGAAAAATCCACTGTGCCTCAATTGTATAATTTTGCACAAACGGCTCGTTGCATCTAAGGTGGAGTTTTTTTTATTGTCTCTGAAGAATCATATGTAAATTAGGTCATCACATTATCTATTGAAAACTTCCAGTTTTCTGAAACTACAGCACGAACTGTTACGTGTGATGTATCTAGCACACTTTTGGATGCTGTAAAAAATAATAAGAAGAAAATAACATGGTATTCCAAAAGAAAAGAAAATCATGGCTCCAGTGAAGACTCTCTGTCCTCATTCACGAGAGAAGCAAAATCCTTTGGAATAAACATGGCCAAGGGGCTAGAGGCTTGGGATTTGTGAACAAATGTCATTCCTCGACAGAGACAGTACTAGATGGTGTGCAAGCAAAGAACACACTTCCCTTATCAGCTCATACCAATAAAGGAGCCATGTGTTGTTACTCCATGAGAGATTTGGCTTTCTTACATGCTCGCTGAGTACTTGAAAAAAATTTGTTTCCTTTCTTCTCTGCAACCTCCCTTTCCTCTCTGATCTGCCATCACACAGATACCACATTCTTTCCACCTCTTCAAACTTGAGTTTTAATGGCACTTGCCCCAAACAGAACATCAGTAGAGACTGCTTATATATAGCTATATATTTCTTATTGATTTTTGCTGCAGTAATTAGCTATCCAGCTATTGTAAGGAGAAACAATATAAATGTGATAGATAGACAGACAGATAGAAAGAATTGTTTTACCTAGATGTTTTATATATGAATTATAAACTACAGTATAAAATATGAGAGGAAGGATGCTCTTACAGTTAAAAACCAAAGGACTTGGAGCAAGAAGATCTGTGTTCTGTTCTCAGCCCTGCCACAAACTCTGTGGATGACTTTAGGAAAATCATTTCTCTATATGCTTGAGTTTCCCTATCTGCAAAATGAAGATAATGGTACCTTTTATAGAGGGTGCTTATAAAGCTTAATTCATTAATATTTGTAAAGATCCTGGAATTGAAGGAGCTATAGATATGCAACGTTATTATGATTATGTTCTTTTCCTATTTCCCTTCCAAGAGAGGATAAGTTGTTTATATTGCTTTTTAAAGGTGCCTCTAAAAATGGTACCATGGTACCCCATGTTACCATTGACTCCAGATGAATTTTTTTCAGTTTACAAGTAAAACAATGGTTTATTTACAGTAAGTGTTAGCCCTGCAATCTCAGTCTGGGATCTGATTGTCAAGCTGGGTTCTTTCTGATTCATGACAGTAATAAAGCTGGAATGAAGTTGATAATTCTGTGAACAGACTCCAGCTTGCTCTCTCAGAGTTGTATGGCTCCTGGACAGCTAACTCAGGCAAAAAGCAATACACATGTGTTTTAGTTAGTAGAGTAAGTAACTATGAATCTAAATATACAAAGGGACCAGAGCTGCACAGTAAGAAATGCCCATTTTTACAGTTCCTTTGCAGCCCACAAGCCAAACACTCTCTGTGATTATGATATTATTCTGTACACTATTGGTCACATTTCCCATATCTGGAGATGCAAGCAGTTTACCATTTTCCTTCATATCAGGCAAGTCCACTTCTGAAATTGGTGATTTGGCTGGGGGCTGTCTCTGAGGATGAAGTTTCCGGCACCAGGCAATGGAAAGAATTGACAAAAGTGGAACTGATGCTTTTATTCCAGGATTATTGAGCACATGAAGGATGATTTGCTGAACTGTGTGCCGAAAAGTCTGCAAACAGTGAGTACAGATCCAGGACATTGCAGTCAGAGATGGAGAGCCACAACCCAGTCCCTGAAAAGCAATTTATTTAAGAAAATACATTGTTACCAAAACACATACAATCGTGGAAATACTGGAAATTAACACTGGGGCTACAAACCTTTGAGTAGTGGAATGTGCAAAAAAGTTTAAATGGCATGGAATCCTCTGGAAGGTCCAGATACTATTTTAGGGCTTGATTTAGCCCCCACTGGGAGCTTAATCAGATCCTTAAAAGAAAAAAATGTGATGGACCTTAACCAGTATTTTGGATTACAGGAGCAGCTGCAGGTGTTTGCTGTGTGGTGGAATTAATGGTTCACTTTCCGATCCCAAGAACACTTAGTACTGTAGGTATGTCTGTTGGAGACAGAGCTTGGAGTTTACTTGAAAGAAAATGCAGAAAGTTTAACTTTTCAGACATGTCCATATTTCCTCAAATGTCCCATACAACCCATCATAGATAATAGAAATTTGATTGTCTAAAGTCAAAGATTTCTAGCACAGGGATGGAAATGTTCCAGTGTTTTATCCAGGGAAACTCTGCAATAGTTTATATCATATATATATGGATATACATGAATGGTGCCAAGATTTTTTTAATTCAAAAATGTTATCTTCATGGGAACAAGAGGTTGCAGAAGAGGCCAGGGCCGACCACTCAGAGGAGGAAATTATTAACAATTCTTATCTTCTGGAATTTGTGTAGATTTTGCTTGGTGATCTGTACTGAACAATATTTCTCTCTCCCTGATGGACTTTCTCTTTGTCTCCTCTAGATTTCTGTATTACACACTGTGTTCTGCTTGACTGTTTTCTCAACTGGGAGCTCAATGGCCAGCATGTAAAGACAATGGAATTACAGTTACGGTTGACAGTGTGTGAAGGCATTTTGTTTAAAGGTTGGCCGGTAATCACAGGAGACTGGATTTTGGAATTACTAGAGGCCCTTTACTCTCTTTACCCTTGTGCATTTCAGGCTGTTTAGGGCTGCAGAGAGGGTCTGGAATGTGATGTTCAGTTAGGATTTGTTTGGTATTTTTACATATATTTGTTAACGTGATCGAGTTTTTGTCAATTTATCCTTCCTTCGTCTATGTTTACCTGGAAAAAAAAAAGACAATTGTTCTGCAGAAAAATCTGTTCTCATTTTCAGGGCTATTTAAAATATTGTCTTGAAAGGTTCTAACTTCACTCCCAAGGTCTTCTCAAATATACTGCTCAAAATTCCTCTGTCTCTTTTCCTCCTACACTGCCTTATCTATCCTTCCTCACTGCACTATCTCTTCCCATATAAATACCCCCGAATCTGTAGGCCTGTATGACCTCCACTATTTTGCTTACATTATCTATAGATATACCTGTTGCAGACACAATAGTAAACAATGATAGCAAAAGTCCCTGCCTTTTTTATTATTTGTATATAAACACGTCAAACTCTCAGTTGTGAGTTGTTGCTCTTTGCCTCCCCTGTTTGTGTGGCGTTGCCGGCTGTGTGTGACAGAAATGCAGCTCTACCCCAGAGGATGCTGGATTTCTCACAGTATATACAGTATACAGTTTGTGAAGCACTTTGGGACACTTCTGGATGAAAGACGGAGAATGCTGCCGAGGCAATTGTACCAAGTTCTGCTGAAAAAGAGAGCAGAGGTGTGGGGAGTTTAGCCATACCTGGCAGGGTTGTTTTGGCACAATGTACTGCATTAAAGATATGGGATTCAAGAGTGTTTTCAGACTTACTATGTTCCCTGCTGTCTGCAACAGGAACCAGGGGAGTGGTACCTTTTTTCTGATAGGGTGCTTAACAGTCCTATATAAGCTTAATCCAAAGCCCATTGAAGTTAATGTGAATACTCCCATTGACTTCCCTGGGCTTTGGATAAGGCCCTATACAGCTTTTACTAGAACAGGCTGCACAGTGTGATTTTGGGGGTGTAGGAAATATGAGGTACATTTCACCTGGGCGTGTTTCCATCCACAGCAGCTAGCACACATGCCCTTGAAAAGTCAAATCACATGCCCTTAATTATGAAGTTTTAATAACTCTCCCAGATCCTGAAATCCTCACTCATTTGTTCTCAGTCCATATTTCAAGCAAACAACTCCCTTCAACTTCAGTGGGGTTTCCTCTGAGTAAGAATGTCAGGATTTGGCTTCTTCTTGATGCATTTCTGCAGCACCCATCAGCATGGTATCAGGGCACTCGAGTCATGGAATCACACCCCTCTTCCAGCCACGTGCCATTGCGAAGTGTGTGTAAACATTCCAAAGAACACTCACATCCCTGATTGCCAGTAAATTAATGACGTTTCCAATCCACATCCCTATTTGATGGCATTCCATAGCTACCCTGTTGCAAGAAGCAGGGAGATGGTATAGTTCTCTGCCCATTGGGCCTGTCTTATGATTGAGTTTTCAGGCAGTGGCTTACGTGGTTTGGAAGGCAAAGTTCAAAGAGTCCCTATTTTCTCATGCCATTGACCAAACAAGTAGCCAATCCTAATAGCTACCTTCATCAAGGCTGAAATTCATGCTCAGTCTAACTGTGGGTGTGAAGGCTATTTTATTCCTGCAGTCTTGGGGGTGGGAAAGGGTGTCAGCTGATCTCATGGGCCTTTTCTATATCTAGCTTCTATAAATAAAGATAACGAGAAAAACTAACAGAATCACAAATGGGTAGTCCCCTGGGGAATGTCCTACTGTAGATTTGATCATATGCTGAGTATCTCGTCTCAACCGCTGCACCCCCGGCAGAAGGAAATATAGACAGCGTGAAAGTCTGAGCTAGTGCTATAGTCAAGAGGTGCTCCAGTGGTCTGATCCTCATCTATAACATGGGGATAGTGGTACTTCCCTATCTTAAAGATTGTGAGGTACTCAGATACTATCACAAGGAGGGGATGTGGGGGAGGATATAAGTACCTAGATAGAATTATGAGAATTCCAATCACATCCTGGGCACAAAAACCCGCTAAGGCTGTAACACAGCCTGAGATCAGTCAGGGAATTCACTATCAGAGCAGCATGCTATGCTTCACAGTGTCATTGTGAGATGAATAGGTTTCAGCCCCAACTTTGGATTTTCTGCCTGCTGTTAGTTTGTGTCAGCCAGAATGGCAGTTAAAACTCCTTTAGGATGGTATCCTGTTACACTTACCAATACTTTTCTATACCGATAGTTAATCAAAACCCTAATATTGAAGTCTGATTTCCATATTGAAATCCCATACCCACCCCAGCCTGCTTACCAAGAGATCCAGATCGCTCTGCTTCAGTGACCTGCCTTCTTCATTATTTACCACTCTCCCAATCTTTGTGTCATCTGCAAACTTTAACATGTTTATTAATGACCTGGAAGGAAACATAAAATCACTGATAAATAATGTAGGGACAAGAAGTGATCCCTGTGGGACACCCTTAGAATCACATACCCTTAATGATGATTTCCCATTTGCAATTATATTTTGAGACCTAACACTTAGCCAGTTTTTAATCAATTTAATGTGCACCATGTGGATTCTGTATTGTTCTTGTTTCTTAATCAAAATGCCATGCAGTACCAATTCAAATACCTTACAGAAGTCTTACTATTTTATATCAACACTATTACTTTTATCATCCAATCTTGTAATCCCATAAAAAAAGATATCAAGTTAGTTTGACAAGATCAATTTTCCATAAACCCATGTTGATTTGCATTATTTTTTATCCTCATTTTAATTCTCTATTAATCAAGTCCCATATGAACTGTTGTGTTATTTTGCCCAGGATCGACATCAAGCAGTCAGGGTTATGACTACCTGGGTCATATCCCATTTATCCTTTTTAAATATTGGCACCACATTAGCTTTCTTCCAGTCCTCTGTAACTTCCCCAGTGTTCTAAGTCTTATTGAAAACACAATATTAATGGTCCAGAAAGCTCTTCAGCCAGCTCTTTTAAAACTTTGGGATGCAAGTTATCTGGGCCTGCTGATTTAAAAATGTCTGTCTCTTGTAGCTACTATTTAACATCCTCCTTAGTTCCTGTAGGAATAGAAAGTATTTCATCAACATATGATATAAATACTTCATCTGGCTTTTTCCCTAACACAGGATAGAAATATTTATTGAACACGTTTGCCTTTTCTGCATTATTATTGACAATTCTACCATTTCCATCTCATAATGGACCTATACCATTGTTAGGATTCCTTCTGTTCCTAATATGCTCAAAAAACCCTCCTTCCGATTGTCCTTAACCCTGTTGGCTATGGGTTTCTCCATGTGTCCTTTTGCTTTCCTTACAAATTTTCTAAAATTCCTAGCTTCTGATTTATATTCATTGCTATTAAACATTCCCCTTTTCCCATTTTTTTTCTATCTCCTTTTGCTTCCCCTCTAAGCCAGGCTATTTTTTATTTTATTTTTTATGAGTGTGGCCTTCTTTCTCAAATTTTGAGATTATGGCTTTTTGAACATCTAGTAAAGTGTTTTTAAATAGTTCCCAAATATCATTCACATTTTTCTATTTTAATCTATTCTTTCTTTATTCCACCTGACTTGACTTTATTCCACCTGGCTCAGACTTGTTTTCAGCTTTGTGCAATTGGCCTTTTTAAAGCACCAAATCTAATCTATATCTATATAGAATAAAGTCATATATATATGACCAGTTGGGACTTTGCACCCTAGCAATCACTAATTTTTAGTTCTGTGACGAATTCCTCGATTGGTCAAGATGAGGTCTAATATAGAATATATTTCTGCTGCGAGAGCTGCCTCTCCTGGGACACTGAGACTGTGCCCTCATCCAATCCTCTCATCACCCCTTTCTGACCAGGCCTGCATGCCACACATTATTGCAACTGTGATGTAAGAACTATTGTGGTTTTTACTTCTAGCTCAACCTAGGTGTTGTCAAAGCAAGTCAAAGTACAATATGAAGCAGCAACACTCCTCCTGTCATATAATCTGCTGCTCTGTAGAGAAGGGTATCTCAGTGCTGAAGTATTGCGGATGTCTGGAAGTCTCTGGGTCTGCTGCAGATGATGGTGTTAAGAATCTCATTTTATCAGCAGCGCTGGCAGAAGGGTCTGCTTCTTCTTGGTTGGATGGACTTTGGCTTGGCTTGTTTGCATGCTGTTGAGTTTGGGGGAAAGGGATTGTGTGCTGTTAGATCTCCCCTCCTTTGAGTTTTTTCTTCTTCTCTGGTCTTGTCTGACTGCAGCTGAGAGACACCGGAGCAGCCAGGAATAAGCATCATATACTTTGTGTTTCCTTTGCTTACCAGTAGATGGTCTCTTTGTCAGCAGGCCCAAATAACTTGCATCCCAGAGTCTTGTGAACTAATGAGGATACTCCATTCGTACCGCCCACTTCATAAAGAAATAAAAGGCAGCTTCTTCAAACGAAACCGTGCAGGAAGGAATAAACCTGCCACCAGGGCTGGCTCCAGGCACCAGCGTAGCAAGCAGGTGCCTGGGGCGGCCAGTGAAGAGGGGGGCGGCACGTCCGGCCGTTCGATGGCAGTTTGGTGGCGGGGCCATCACTCCCTCTCGGAGCGAAGGACCTGCCGCCGAATTGCCGCCATAGAATGAAGCAGCGGTAGAGCTGCTGCCGATTGCGATCGCGGCTTTTTTTTGTGTGTGTGTGTGTGTGCTTGGGGCGGCAAAAATGCTTGAGCCGGCCCTGCCTGCCACTAGTCCCAACTTCCATGCACTGGAGGATGCAATCCAACATCAAAGCAGAACTGCATCTTCGACCTAGCATACATCATTAAACAAGGGAGAGCCTGTAGAGGCCCCCAGATCTTCCAGGAATACACCCTGCTCTTCAGATGGTCCCTTTGATGCTAGGTAGGCCTTCCAAGAATACCACAGAGAGTCTGTATAGTTCAAATATCAGACAAAAGCACCTGCACAGCAGAATCCACTCAACACTCAGGGGCTTCCGAGGGTCATTGGTGTGATGTGGCAGAGTGAAATGTTACACGCTCAAGCTGATTGGTAGCGCTGTCCCCATGGTATACCCATAATTACCCAGGGCAAATCTGGTGCTCCACAGTACATGAACATTAACCGAGCAGGGACTGTTGGACAGAGAGACCTAGCTATATGGTAATCAATAAATGAACTGATAAGGTACAAAATAAACCTCCCAGTCACCACAAGCTGTTTTCCTTCCAAACAATTAATGCCGACCTCCAAGATGACAGGCTGCTCTTAAATCTGTTTTTTGAAACATAAAGAAAAACTCCATCTCAGGAGAGGCTTTTGTCAGTTGCAGATATCGCAATATCCATCTGGCTAAGCACACCCAGAACCAGGAGAGAAATCTCCAAAGAATGGTATAGCAAAACTGCCAGGAAAGTACAGGCAGCCTGGCATGTTAACAGGGAATTAGAAACAGTACCTCGCGGTGCAGACTGAGTAGGTTTCCCAATCCCCTAGGCAATGTGATTGATATGAGGGTGCCTCTATGTGACATACACTTACCGGTATGTGCAATGAGGCTGGCTTCAGGTTTTTTTTTAGATAGCACTAGATTGTGAAATTCACGTTAGCCGGGAACAAAAGCCTGCCTGGATTATTTTGCCACTGTGCCCATCATGTGTGAGGTGAAAGTCGTGTATCTGACAGCCCCGGTACCTAGCAGTTGAAACGAGCACACAATGTTCTCTAGGAGCGTTTTGGTCCTGCCTCTGACTCTGGACTGTTCCTATGGCAATGCTGTCCAGGCCGGAGCAGGGTGTCATGCCTTGCTACTGAGACTATAAAAACAAGCCCAATACAAATCAGTGACATAAATCTCGAAGGTGGGGCAGAGAAAATGATCCCGCCCCAACTCTAGGGTTGCCAGTTTTGGTTGGACATAGTCCTGGAGGTTTCATCACATGACATAATCTTTAATTAAAGATTAATCTTTAATTCCTAGAGACTCCAGGACAATCATGGAAGGTTCATAGAATCATAGAATCATAGAATATCAGGGTTGGAAGGGACCTCAAGAGGTCATCTAGTCCAGCCCCCTGCTCAAAGCAGGACCAATTCCCAATTAAATCAACCCAAAGTAGAGTAATGACTTTTAAAGGGACAGGAGTAGACTTCAGGATCCGAATCTTCAAGTTTCATAACATTGAGTGGCCTATGAACCTAACCTTTGGTTGAGATGGTAGGTTTAGCACTTTTGAAAACTGTTTTGTGTGAAAGAGGGCAGAAGGGTGTTTATGATTCAATGAAAATGGGGCACTTTCATTTCAAAATTGTGACGGCAGCTTCATTACATCTTACCCAACGTCCTCTCTATTGCATTTACAAACTGGCTAAACTCTCCTGGGGAGGAAGGCAAACAATCAGAGACATAATATGCGTCAGTGGAAGTGTAGCGTACAACTCCCTAGAGAGCAAAGCAGACATCCAGATGTTTATTGAAATATTCTGTCAGAATGTGATTGATTCTTTATGGCAGGGACTGTGTCGTCCTCTGTGCTTGGAAAGCACGTAGCCCATTTGGGTGGCTACCACAATAAATAATAACAACAACAGGCCATTGCCCTACTCTCTCAGGGGATTTTGAATCTCTGTGTGCACGTGCATGGACGCACTGCATTATATACATGATTTGGGTAGTTAAAATGTTAGCTCACCCACACTGTAACCATCATGAAACATGCAGCAAGGGAATGGGGCAAAGCTCCATTCATTTTTACTCCCAGGTAGAATTGAACATGCTGTACACATAGTGAAAACAACAAATCCTGCATCACGGCAGGGGATTAGACGAGATGACCCTTGTGGTCCCTCCTAACCCTATGGTTCTATGATTCTATGAACCAAAGTCCCTTTCCTCTTACCCTTCTAGTTTTGGAAGAGTTATTGTAGTCCCTGTGTGTGAAAAACTGTGTATATGGGAATACAGACCTGATATAAATATAACATTTATATTTTTAAATGGGTGTTCACTGGGTAAGCTTTAAAGTAACTTTTCTCTATCAAGATGTAGATTTTGGAAGGTAAAGCTGTTTCACCTATAGCCTAGTTCCAGAAAGAACATTAGTCTATTTTTAGACTAGTAGAAAACAAAGGGAAAAGATGATCATAAGTCTGAATTTATTTTTATTGTTGCTGATAGATGACTGTTGGGTGAATAGCTGTTGCCCGGATGTTTTTTTATTCAGCTATTTTTATAGAGTTTCTTTTACATTGACCTTCCTGTAAAATTGGTGGCATGACAGCTTAAAATATTCTCCCCAGAGAAGACTATGCCAACTTCCTCAAAAGTGGCATGTCTGCATTTTTTTGTATGAGACTTGGACTTTCAGCTTCTGTGGCAGCCAGCAGGCAAACATCCAAATATCCTTTTGAATTACTGATTTAAAGTGGAGTTTTCCAGAACCGATACTAGCTAAA